ACAAAAATTTATGTATTAGATAAACACTTTATTTGCTTTGTTAGTTTAGGATTAGTATAGATTACACACAAACGATCTCTTTTGATATCATTACACTTCGAATTTAATAGTAGCTATTGAACTACAAATTAGACATTATTTCTCGTGAGAACGATACTTTTAACTCACATATTTTATTACTTGTACAACGATTCCGTATGCTTGCGGATTTCACGCGAACACATTTTTTGAGATCAACAGATTTTTCAAGCATATTTCAAATGCATTTTATAAATCCCCCCACTGCAATTAATAGATTTCCAATGCTCGTCGGTTACTCATAAAATGGATTTTGATAAAAGAGTTGAACTTTTCGACGATAAGCTACAAACACATTCTAAACTACAATTCTTGTTAACGTGTATAAACCTAAACATCAGCCATACAATCTGATGGTTATAAGTATTTGCTTTCTTTTCTTTTACCTTTAAATTATATTCTTGTTCCTTTATTGTTGTGATACAAATTTTGAGATGGGATCCACGGGCATTATACTTTTCAATGCAAAAGCATTATCGAAATTGCAAAGGCACGCATTGAACTGTCTTCCTTAGCACCAACGTGAGGGGGAAATAGCCAAAAATACCAAAGGTATTAGGAGAAGGTAATTAATATTTCCAACTGGAGTCAAATGGTGGCTTTTAAGCATATATATTATTTCTGTGTCCATACTGTACTTTTTTAAATTTTGTAACTGTATTGAATTTTGCATAAAATTATCTTATGGGATAGTTTCCAAATTGTGATCTTCTTTCCTATCAGTTCTGGCATGTTTATAAGTGCATTGGAAGACAAAACTGGAATCAGGCTGCAAAAGGCTGATTAGTGATGGGGGACTGGAGGATTCAATAAAGCTATTTGTATAAAGTTGAGTTACAAAAGTTGGGTTACAAAGTGTGTCACTGTGTTGACAAAATTCAGATCGTTGATTTCAAATGATTTAAAAATTTTGTTTTTTTAAAATGATCGATGAAGATGTTATTTTGTCAACCAACTTTNACTTTGTACATGTAGCATAACTCCTGGAGGATCAGCTCGAACAGTTCCGCAAGTATCCTAATTATTGCAAGTTCTGGACTTGTAATTGTTTTCCTTTCTATTGAAAATTTCAATTGAATAAGAACATTTTAGAAAGAAATACTTTTTGTTTATGGAGCAAAATATCAAGCATAAATACACTAGTGATTCAGGCATAGATGCTCCATACATAGACTTATTTTATTTAGCTTAGGACTCAATTAACTTACTTTCTATAAGAACTTAGCCTGGAATTTGTTGTATTTATATTGCCTATTTTAATTGCTGCTAGAGGCTTGTACTAGGTAATGCACCAGTTATAGAAACATTTCTGTATCTTTGTTATTTACCTTATAAAACGGAATCTTAGTGAACAAAAAACACTACCTTGCACCATTTGTCTAGTTGCATCCATACTTAATTTTTTAATTTTAACCATACATTTCGTATAATCTACAATTACTACCAGCTTATCCATCACTTATTTTTACCAATTTATAATTCCAATAACTTATATTTTTTTTCCTTGTAGATTTCATTATGTATTATTACACATCTCATAAATAAGAATTTATCTCATTCCATAGAAATATAGAGAGGTCGGTGGCTCATTGACACCATCGGCTACGCTTTCGAGCTGGGACGGAGTCATAATTTTTATCCAGGGTAAATTTAAGAGGATTTTTTTTTTCTTTTAATTTCAACATTCCAAGGTAAACAAAAATAATGTTATTATGAGCATTGCAACATTTAATCCTTTACAAAATTACTACACAAGAATAAAACTAGAATGATGCACCATAATTAAAAAAAAAAAAAACATACTTCATAAGTGATAATATATGAGGCTGCTCAATTAAAGTAGCAGGTGTACGAGGACACTATAATTTATAAGTGATAATGTTGTTAAAAGATCAAGCTTCAACTTGGCTTGATATCATATTTTCTAGGAAACTAGAGATTCTCGAGACGAAATTGTGTGTAATTAACATGGAAGATAGATGGTTATACTTCACATGTCTGTTGTCAGCTATCTTGCATTTATCGATAATAATATCAGAATCTTTGTTACATTTATTTATCGTTCAAATAGATCGAGAATAATGCACTCACTCCTTGTTCTTTATACGGATTAAATGAACAAATATCCACGTAATGCATGTTACGATAAACTTTAGTTCCGGTAATGTCTACTTAAATTAGGTCTTAAAAAAAAACTCATCAGAAGAATTAGGCCCGGTTTGGTTCGGATTAAAATATGATTTTAATCCAAATCAAAGTCAAACAATCAATATTAATCACATTTTCATGGGTCCCACAATTTTTCAACCACACATTTCAAAACATTTTATCACAATTTACTATAAATCTAACTTTAATCCCCAACGAACGCCCTCTTAGTATACAAGAACCGCAAACAAACAAGAGTGCTACAATTAAAAGTATGAAAAATAGTTATATGTAAACGTGTGTTATATTTGTCAATTTGTAAAAACCTAGTCAAAACTGAGCGTCGGCCCATTAGCTAATAGGCAATCCGTCCGTTTGGTAACGGTAGATTCTCCGTTAGGAATTTTGGCGGTAAAAATAGCCCGCTAACACACGTGTCAATATTCCATTGGCTTTCATCATACATTATGTCGTCTATGGTATGGCATGCTATTTTTTTTCCCGCGCGACCGGTGGAGAGAATTATATTTTCTTCCAAAGCTAAAAAAGAATATATATAAAAGAAAAGGAGAAAACAAAATAAACCTAAAACCCCAAATTTCGTCCCTCTGTTTTCCAAGAGTTGGATAGAGGTAACTGCAACTGGCAGTAGCATCAGCAGCTCAGAGGTAGAGTAATCTCATCTTCAATGCTTCTATTTCCTATTTAATTTAGTTAGGGTTTTTATTGGATTCGTGGATTTCAATAGATCTGAGATCCGGAAGATGGAGGAGGTAAAAAAGGTGTCGAGTCCGGCCAGGAATTCGCATTCTGGTGATGGAGAGGAGCCCTCAATTGAAGCTCGATTCATTCAATTTTGCAAGGTTTCTCCTTTCTTTTTTCCCTATTCCCCGCATTTTTTTATCTTTCAATTTTTAGGAATTTTCAATCTAGAGTTTTTTGTTGTTGTTTATGGGATTTGAGAGGTTTATAATGTTGACGCTCTGGATAGAGGCAGCTGATTTTTTATCCTCGATATTCTAGAAAAAAAACTGCCGGAAAGTTGTATTTATTTGTTCCAATATCCATTTTTTGGGTTTGTTAATTTCAGTTTAGATGGTCGCTTTTTGGATGGCTTGAGGTGATTTGTTTTTGAAATGTATAATTTTTTTTATATGTTGTTAGTTTCGAAATTAAGGTCATTTGGCTTTTCTATCTTTAGCTATTTAAAATATTCAAAAATTGTACATGTTGTTTGGTTTGAAGTTTATGTCATTTGGCATTTCTAATTTTTTGTTAATTTGCCTTTATCCTGTCTGACAAACAGAATGAATTATCATTGGACGACAACTTTTTGGTGCAAGCAACAAAGCTGTTTAATGAAATCAAGCATATACTATCCACTAGTATTTCTTCTGTCGGAAGTGGGATGGTATGTGGTTCCCCCTCCTCCCCTTGCTGCTTCTGTTTTTCTGTTTAATTTTTTCGCCGCTGATTGTCTTTTTCCCTAATTGTTCCCTCTTCAAATGATTGAATATAGATAGGTCCTTGAGATGATTTTTTTAGGTTTGCCTCGTGATTATAAACTATTTATGACAGTTCAAATCAATTTTTATCTACACATTTCGAGGACCCACAAATTTTATCCACCACTCATTTAACCGTTTATAAACCCTTTACAAACATGCTTTTGATTCTGTCATGTTATTAAATGCTTAATGATTGCATGTCACTATCAGCCAGAAGAAGTAGAACGTTATTGGTTTGCGTTTGTTCTCTACTCTGTGAAAAGGCTGAGTGATGAGAGAGAAGCTGATAATTTGAATGGAGGAAGTGGAGAAAATGGATTTACTTTATGCCAGATACTAAGAGCTGCAAAACTCAAGTATATCCATGTTGATTCACTTCATTTCTTTTGTTGTCTTATTATTGGACAATCATAAAACTGGTACCCTGCTTTGCAGCATTGTTGACTTTTTCAAAGAACTTCCTCAGTTCATTGTCAAGGTTAGTCTGATTCTAAGTAACCTCTATGGTGCGGATTGGGAGAAGAGACTTGAGGTAATTGCATAGTGTAGTATTTAGCTAACATTCTAGAGGCGTGTGCTGATTTTTACACCATATTTCAGTCATATTATACTGTCCCTATTTATGCTTTATTTTCTATGTTTGTTCAGGCAAAGGAATTGCAGGCCAACTTTGTCCACTTGAGCCTTTTGAGCAAGTGAGTTTATTGAAGTATTCTTTTCCAATAAGCCACTGCTTTATCATGTCATTGGCAATTGATGACTTGTTGATTTCCAGAGAATTTCCACCTTCCAATGCATATTTCCTCTATTTCTTTGAAACTTACAAATTCTGCAAATAACCAGTCTAAATTTCAATATTCCTCTTCTATTCTGCTTTTCCCTTTTATGCTTGTAGATGTTGGATTCAAATTCTATTGAAACCTAGAGAAATACTAAAATTAACCGACCAGCCACACCTTGACATTGGAAGCATCCATGTTTAGCACATCTAAATGGGTCACCTTCTTGCTTGGACCTTTTTTGGCACATTATGTGATATCACAGTCATGCATGCTTCCAGTAATTTTATGAATGATATCTTTTACTCCTATTTTGGGAGATCATTCTCTTGACCTGAGATGAAAAAAAAGACAACTGTATTCATTCAGTTTGAGAGGATTGTGCTTTTTGTCAGTTAAATTTTGGTTATTAAAAGATGATTCCAATACAGATAGATTCAAACTGTATGATATGCATTGTGGGCAATATAACGTTTCTGCAATTATTATCATCGTCTGTATTTTAGGAATATTTTCCGGACCTGACCATTAATAAATATTTCTGGTCCCAAAGTTCAGTGTTAAAATCATGTCTTTTCCATTCTAATGTTAGTAATTTTTGTTGTGTTGTCAATATAAAAAAGTGCTTTCCTTATTTAATGCAGCTTATCAATTATAATCAGGACCTCTCGTCCAACCATCATGGATACTTCATTCTTGGAAATAATTTGTTGTGTGGATACCTTTTGTTTAAATTTTTAACCCAGTATACATTCTAGCGTTTCTCTGATGTCTTGTTTTATAATGCATTCAAGGTATTACAAGCGTTCCTACAGAGAACTTTTCTTGACAAATGATGTTAACGATAATAAGAATTTGGACACTTCCGATACCCCGGTTTACGCCTCAGACTATTATCGTTTTGGGTGGTTGCTATTTCTGGCTCTACGTGTCCATGTATTCTGCCGTTTCAAGGACTTAGTGACATGCACAAATGGTTTAGTTTCTATATTGGTGAGTAAATTTTAATGTTCAGCTTGGTCTTTAATTGATTAGTATTTACCTTTATCGAAATCATCAGAATATAATTGAAAGTACTTTACATCTTTTTCATGTCCTTTAGGAAAATAATGAAGGACAATGAACAAAAGTATTGAAGTATCAATACTTTTGTCACTTGCACGCCCCACCCCCTTTTGCCCAATATAAGACTACTCTATACCTGTTAGATATTACGTTAACCTAATGCTTGATGAAACTGGTGACAGGCTATCCTTATTATACATGTCCCTGCTCGCTTCAGAAAATTCAATGTTATTGACTCTCCACGCTTTGGTAATTGGCCCTTTGGTGTCCTTATCAAGGAAAAGAAGTTATCCTTTTTTATCGTTAGGTCCACTGATCTCTTCCTGGTGCAATATGACTAATACCATTGTGCTGACTCTTTTACAGTTAAGAAAGGTGACAAGGCTGACCTACTTGCCTCACTTTGCAACATTTATGAAACCTCAGAATTCGAGTTGAGGAAAACATTTGAAAAAGCAAACGACTTGATAACTGATACATTGAAGAAGAAACCTTGCTTGGCTTCAGAATGTAAAACTGAAAACCTGGCAAATATCAACACAGGTTAATCTCGAGATTGTCCTAACATTCTGTTACTGCCCTTCTAATGTAGTGTTTTCTGTAATTCATGCGCCATTGTCAATATTGTAATTATGTCCAAATGCAGATGGTTTGATCTACTTTGAAGATCTGATGGATGAATTATCTTTATCTTCTAGTATAAGTTCACTAGAAAAGGATTATGATGTTGCTATTCAAAATAAGGGTGAACTAGATGAGAGGATTTTTATCGATGAGGATGAAAGCATTCTAGGGTCAGGGAGCTTGTCTGGAGGTGCAATAAATATGAATGGATATGGGGCTAAGGTTAGTTCCGTGTTACTTTGATAGAATTATTAATGCTATGAGCTTTGTATCTCTTGTAACCATGTTTTCCTTGATGACATGTAGAGGAGGATTGACTCAATAGCTTCCCCATCGAAGACAGTTACAAGTCCCCTATCTCCTTACCGCTCTCCTATGTCTCCTTCCAGTAGCATTCCCGTTAGCAGCAACTCCAAGATGGCAGCTACCCCCGTAAGCATGGCAATGACTACTGCAAGGTGGCTACGGACAGTTATAGCTCCACTTCCATCTCAACCTTCGGCAGAGCTGGTGAAATTCTTTTCTTCTTGTGACAAAGACGTGACAGCTGATGTTATACGTAGGGCTCAAATAATACTTGTGGCCATATTTCCAAGTAGTGGTCCTGGGCAAACTGCAAGCTTAATAGACAACATATGGGCAGAACAGCGTCGATTGGAGGCACTGAAGCTTTACTACAGGGTTCTGCAAGCCATGTGCACAGCAGAATCCCAAATTTTGCATGCGGATAATTTAACTTCTTTGCTAACCAACGAGAGGTTTCACAGATGTATGCTTGCTTGTTCTGCTGAACTAGTTCTTGCCACACATAAAACAGTGACTATGTTATTCCCAACAGTGTTGGAAAGAACTGGAATTACAGCTTTTGATCTTAGTAAGGTGATAGAGAGTTTTATCAGACATGAAGAAAGCCTTCCGAGGGAATTGAGAAGGCATTTAAATTCACTTGAAGAACGACTTTTGGAGAGCTTGGTATGGGAAAAAGGCTCCTCTATGTACAACTTTTTGACAGTTGCAAGGCCAGCCTTCAGTGTAGAAATAAATCGTCTAGGCTTGTCAGCTGAGCCAATGCCATCTTTGGATGCAATTGCCATGACGTGCGGCTCATTTCCCACACAATATATGCCGAAGCAGGAAACTCCTGGTAATGATTTGCTCGATTTATTTGTTGTATAACTGTTCATCTCATGTAAAATGTTTACGTGTTGACTGTTGAGGTACTATGAAAGATAAAAAGTTGGCCTTAAAAATGTTTCTTGACTTGACTACATTTCTGTTTTCGAAGCTAATGGCTTTTCTCATTAACATAATCGAAAAATAATCTGTCCAGGTCAGAATGGAGATATTCGTTCCCCAAAAAGAGTGTGCACTGAGTATCGAAGTATGTTAGTACAGCGGAACTCATTCACTTCACCTGTAAAGGATCGCCTTTTGGCCCTTAACAATCTGAAATCAAAGTTGACACCTGCTTTGCAGTCTGCATTTGCCAGGTATTGACACTTAAAATCTCAGAAGCCAAGCTGTGGCATTTTATGTAAGCAAGGTACTTCATCTGGCCTCTTTCTAATTGTTCTGCAATTTATCTTGCTTTCAGTCCAACAAGGCCAAATCCAGGTGGTGGTGGGGAAACATGTGCAGAAACAGCAATTAACGTGTTCTTTGGCAAGGTATACCAGTAGCAACATTGTAATGATTATACCAGTTAGTGGTGTGTAGAGCCGAGAGTCATATATCAGTGTTTGTCGAGGCCAGTTTTCTGGTGCGCTTACGGTGCAAACAGTTCTGCTCATCTTTTTATTCTTCTGTTTGAGAAGAGTGCATGGCTGAAATTCCGACCAGGGGATTTCAGTTGCTTTGGATGGTTTTGCATTGAGTTATTCAAACCATCTGAGGCTGGGTTGTCCATGGATGCTTGGATGGCAGGCTTATTGTCCAGACTCCTGTGGAATTCTTCATTATTCCCTACATGTTAGAGCATAGTAGCAAGTTCCTTAAATTCTACTGATATGGATTAATTAACTCCATAATATAATTGAGCTATAACGCTTATGTGTTTCATTTTTTTTGTCCAACACAGATTGTAAAGTTAGCTGCTGTAAGGATTAATGGCATGGTCGAGCGGCTACAGCTGTCGCCAAAGATAAGGGAGAGTGTGTATTGTCTCTTCCAAAAGATTGTTGGTCAGCGGACAACTCTGTTTTTCAACCGTCATATTGACCAAATCATCCTATGTTGTTTTTATGGAGTTGCAAAGGTCAGCTCAACTTATTTGAAGACTGATAATAAATCATTCCTTTTATTCTCTAATAATTCTATTTTTTTGTCCTCAGATTTCTCAACTGAACCTGACGTTTAAAGAAATTATCTACAATTATAGAAAGCAACCTCAATGCAAACCACAAGTTTTTCGCAGTGTTTATGTTGATTGGACATCAGCTCGCCATAATGAGGTGTCTTTCTTTTCATTCACTCTCTTTTCCTGAGTCACTTCTGAAAACTGTTAATCATTTTGTTGTTTTAAACAGAAAAGTGGTCCTGATCATGTTGATATTATCACATTTTACAATGAAATTTTTATCCCTGCGGTAAAGCCTCTTTTAGTTGAGCTTGCTCCTGGTGGAACAGCACAGAGAAGTGGTCATGTCACAGAATCTAGGAAGAATAATGAAGGTCAGTGATTTTAATGGATTTTCTTGGTGAATGTTTCCTTTTAGAACTCTTAGATCTTAAATCCTTAGATGGTACCCAATTTCTCCTGGCAAATCAGGTCCATATCCTGCATCACCCAAGACATCTTCGTTTCCAAGTCTCCCAGACATGTCTCCGAAGAAAGTATCTGCAGCACATAACGTTTATGTCTCTCCGTTGCGTTCATCTAAGGTATGGAGTTGTTTCACGATGCATTCCTATAAATATCATCTTTTGTTGTCTAATGTTGTTTTTATTATGTATATACGAGGGGTCATGGAAATTATATATATTGTCTATCCCACTGTTTATCATGTAAAGCCTTAGGCATGACAACGAAACAATATATCTGAATACTGGTTGTGGCAAGTTTTTGGTTTGTTACTTGGATTACTAGATAACATAAGCTGAACCACCTTGCTGCTGCTTGTGCTGGTGCATTCAAGTTTCTCCAGAAAAAACCATTTTGTCTCAACTTATTTTCTCATTCATTCAAATTTAGGTGATTAGGTGATTAGATCTTGTGATCCAATCCCCATTTATGTATTTGCCTAAAATTTTTTGAATATTCTTTTGTTGATTACTTACAATTCCTTCATTGGATAAACAAATATTTGCTCATTGTTTCTAAATTCATATAAACTTTTAATTTTTTTCTGTTTTTCTGTTTGGATGACTTATTAGGTTACTAGTTCAGTTTCCATCTTGTTCTGTATTTCTAAGCCATTTTTTCTTGCCTAAATCTTTGCCCTCTTTCGGAGTGAACAGTTGTTGCTATATTTGTTTTTAATCCTTTTAGTTAACTCTGAAGTTGTGATTTAGTGTCATTCCTTTCATTCATGTTGTCATCTTGTCACTGTAAATCGTCCTCTTTTTTCCTATTTTTCTATGCAAAACATGGGAAATCTACGTATTGGTGTTGTCTTAACTGGGTCATAAGGAATAAGGTTATGAACGCACCGTTTCTTTGTCATTCATCATACTCCATATCTACTAAATTTTGTCTTGCATCTTTTTAGTTTCCAACTAAATTCACACCTGCATTGGTTAAAAAAAAATTGAAACAAAAACAAATATTCCCCTTTTGCACTTTAAAAGGATCTGCTGGGAAAACACTGAAGTTCAAGTTCACCATGCAACTTTTTTTAGTGGAGTAGTGATAACGGAATCTTCATTTAGTTTAGTATCTGAGTCTCACCAAAAAGAATTTAATTCTTAGCTCCTTTTCTCGATAACTGCTCTTGATAAAGACGCGGTGCACTAGAATAAAACCGAGCACCACATCAGTAGATTTATTTTTTTGACTGGTTTCTTGTCAGCAATTGTTTTAATTTTGTCTTGGATTATGGCTTGTGTTTGCAGATGGACGCACTGGTCTCACATAGCTCTAAAAGCTATTATGCTTGCGTTGGAGAAAGCACCCATGCTTACCAGAGCCCTTCAAAAGACTTGACTGTCATTAATAACCGCTTGAATGGGTATGTCTAGTTTGTTATACCAACACTCCAGTTTTGAAAATATGCTACCACGATGCTGACTCGTTTGGTTTCTTGTTTACAGTACTCGGAAGCTCAGAGGCCAACTCAATTTCGACGATGTTGACGTTGGCTTGGTCAGTGACTCTATGGTTGCCAATAGCCTTTACCTTCAGAATGGAAACACACCGTTGAAAACTGAGCAACAGGACTCGTAATATTGCAGTTGCATATTTCCTTGACCTGTAAATACTTTTCCTTATCTAGGCTACATTTAATGACTAAAGGGTATTGTATGAGCGGTAAATTTATATATTTTGGCCGCCACTAACCCCAGGAACTATGCGTGTGAATCCTATTACTTGAATGTAGTTGGCACTTGTCACTGGTAATAAAATTTAAAGTTGAAAATTTCAATGAGATTAGCTTGTGACATTCTTCAACTAATTGGTCAAAAGCAGGTTGTGTCGATATTGATGACACCATTTTGGATTGGTTTTTTACTCATGTAAAATCACATGTGAGCCAATTGGAATTCCTCTTTGTTCAGAGACTTTGGTGGACAGCATGGAACATTTGTCCTCAAAATAGGGACTAAGTTAGAATAGGAATTCTTTTCTAGTTTTGCTTTTGAGACAACGTGCATGTGCCCACCTATTATAATAATATATTACTCATATAATTGAATTTGCTTTGACTGACTGAAATTCTTGACCTAATCCAGTCGAGAATAGACCTCTTGAATAATATAAAATTTGGTTTAACCTTTGCCAATTTTTTTTTACTCTAGGTACCCATGTGAAGTTACGTGTAGGAGTGGGGGACTAGATGTTAGGTAGAGTAGTGTCAAATGTTTTAGTTCAAAAGACGAAAGGTAGGTATCCCTGCCTCTCACGTGGAACCCAATTTTGATGGCCTTTTTTCTCTTGTTTTGAGCTTTCTTCCTTCATTCGTTGAGGGATTGAATCGAGGTGAAAAAAAGTAGTGGGATGCTAAGAATTTGCTAAAAATTAGAGTTGAGATCTATTGTCTTGAACTTTCTAGTTCGCTTGACCATTCCCTCAATATATTAATGACACCATATAACATCGTCTCTCCTTACCAAATTGAAAGACGGTTTAATGTGTCGAAACTACAAAAAATATGTTAGGATCTTCACATTTACTAAAAAGAGATGTCAAAAATGTGATAGATAGTAGGACAAGAAGTTAGGGAAAGCAAATCCAATGCAATACATATTTATTTGGTTTTGGAAAAAGTTGAGAGAGAGAGAGAGAGAGAGATAATTGAAATTAATTTGTGTGAAAATGGATGCACATGGCTTAGGTTATAATATTGCTTATGATTAATCCTTAATTAACAATGCCCCTTTTTTGCTCTTTGCACCGATGCATTCTTTCACTTGGCTAATTCAACCCGAGTCTGATAATCATTATTTTCAAATTCTTTTTTCTACATATTCATTTTCAATCACACACTCACGCAATAAAATATTCTACATGTAAACCCAAAATTTCCCATACTTTTAAACTACACATTCTCCTAAAAATCAATATTCAAAACATTGGTTTTTAGGAATAATGGTTGTCAACCGGTGCTCAATAATGAGTTGCAGCCTTGTGCTTATTATTTCTTTGTATGTCCAGGAAGTTAAAAAAGAAGAGGATCTATCATTACTTTGTTTTTTCAATCAACTTTCCTCAACATCACATGCCTCGCATATATAATTAAGCCCCAGTTTGACACTCATTCTCTTTCTCATTCTCATTCTCTTTTTTCATTTCAACCACACAATCTCCAAATAAAATAATATTACACACAAATCTAAAACTTTTCATCACTTTTCCACCACACATTCTCCCATCAATCACTATTCCAAAATTTTTCAACCCATTAAAATGGGTGTCAAACA